TTTGACGTCAGTTTGATAACATGAGCCACGAACATGTAGTAGAGTCCAGCAATATTGGGGCCAACCACGTAGCGTTGAGCGATAGCAAGCCACAAGTCAGCTGTACAAAACATCTGCGTACACGATGGGGATCGAAAATCCATGGCTTAGATATGTCGTTAAGGTCGTTGTCTAGAAGATCAACTTGGACAAAGCCAGCGCTGCACTCGACAGTATCATAGCATATCATGCAATCGCTGTTAGATTTTGTTTCATTATTCAAAAATTAACATTATCAAAATTTACATCCCGGATATGTTTGTTAATACTGAATCGGTGACGCATCCACCCCAAGACGGTCACATTTGCACAGAGATAGCCTTCAGTATCAACAAGAGCTCTGTGACCACGCACGTGGATCAGTAATCGATAAGATGGATATATTGTAGAAAAGTCGAAAAGTAGATAAGTAACAACCCCAACAGTTCGCTCACCACTGCGGCGACGGAGTATGGCCCAAATTTGGACGGGGCCACCGCAGCACGTGAGCCAACTGAAAATTTGCAATTGTGAGAGAATTTGAGAGATACTTCGCTGGATTGAATGTGACCACGTCTCAAATATTAATACAGGCCAGCACAGATGCAGCACGCCATGACGTACACCGGCGAAGAATATAATTGAACATTTCTTATGACATGTAAAATCGATTGTTGTGCCCTGAATGTTCTGGTTTTATCTTACTATGCCGTTTCGACTTTTGAGGTTCCACCCACGTTGTGGGATTTTAGTAAACCAAAAAGCAGTATGTATCTGATAATTGGTAGCTTCCGGAATCTGCGGCGACGGCTCAACCTGTTGCTTGGCCTTTTTGACCGCCCTGACTCCCACTGACCTCTTGCCTTTCATCTTCTGGTTGCTTGGTGGGCTCCATATATCAGTCCGATACAACGCCCCGCCCGGGCGAGTGGCGTCACGATCGGTGGCCATTGCGGGAGGAAAAAGTATATTGTGAAAACCAATCAAGATGTCCAAATCATATGCTAATAGAACGATTTAAGGTGTTGATAAACGCGATTTATATATACAAACGGATTTTCAGATATTTTTAGGATCCACACGTCTGAATTAGAGTCCGTTTTATAATAGATTGAGACGTTCAAATATAGATTTCTCGGAATGCCCATACACGGCTGGGCATTCCAAGTTGAATAAACCTTCAATGGAGAAGACAAGAGCTTGTGTTGCAGTTAAGGTTGGCGACTTCGGCCACACTAGTAGAACAAGTGTGCCCGTTGAAAATGCCGACTTCGACTTTGATGAAGAACAAGATGGCTTTGAGCAAGTGTACGCTTTAGCAGACGAGAGGGTAAAGTTGGCTTTGGCAACTACTCTACGAAGACGACTCGGTCCGACAAGAAGCTATACTTGAAGCCAAGTCAACATGCAAAACAAGCGCAGTTCGTGGCGCTAGCTAGTGAAAATTGGCATGAAATGCTGGCCAAGGCTAGAGCCAACTACCACAAGCAGAAAACCTTTGATGGTCCGTTTGTTGTGCACGTGTTGATGTACGCAGCTAAGGAAGCACGACAAGGCATTCGTCGTGCCACTCCAGCTCGCATCGCCGAGGCCACTGAGGTCATCGATAGCTATATGGCTGAAAGGGCAGAGGTTCGTGTTGGTGATATCGCCCGTACCCATTGGGCAATTAGTCAAGCCCGTCAGCCCGATGATGCCAGTGTTAGTATACCGGAGAGCGCTACGTTCCGACAGATGCAGCATTTGGACGCAATGAGTACCTCACGTCAAGAAGATCGGGGTGCAGATAGCGTTTTCAGTACGCTAACAGTGCGGCTAAACGGATCGAGGAACATGAAGCTAACAGTTAATGTCAGCGAGCTTCGAACGCTGCTCGAGCTACCAAACTACAGCCTTATCGTCTGTTTTCGCACTTTCAGCCACCCCCAGAGCCTGCTGTGGACATGGAAGACGTAGACCATATGAGCGACTAGAGAAATGGAGGACCGATGTCTAATCAATGCCATTTATATATTTTTTCTCGCTTCGCTCATGAAAATCTAGTAGCAAGGAGTAGATATTATCTACTCCTTCCTACTTCGACATAAGTAGAAATTATACACTTAGTAGATATTATCTATCTACTAAGTGTATAATTTCTACCTTGACAATCGCGACTTTTTCAAAAAATAATGATATCAGTATTAAAAATATTTGGATATGTACAGTATACTCGATAGTTACTAACCTTCACGTTACTATCATTCAACTGAGAGAGTACTCACTCTCTCAGTTGCCAACCAGTGCTCGAAGATTTTGGGAGGCACCACCAACTCCGCCATGACACCAAATTCTTTTTCCTGCGATCGAATGGAGAATTAGTTGCACGTTTTGCGTCGATATACTATTTTCTGGATCGTATACCGGTCTGCTCGTGTGGTTGGGTCTGGTGGTTATGGCGACCCAAACGTCATGCCCGACCCGTAGTATGTTGGTGATTAACTTTCTAGCTGTCACTTCTGTCAATATGTGACCTCTGCTCAACTGCTGCCCAGTCAGCGGTTTATAACTACTACTGCGTTGTGTACTACGTACACGTTTGGGGCAGACATCCACCTATTCACTTGTATTATATTAAATCTTTCTAAAACCGGAGCGCACGTACGACTAATTCGACGCGCGTTGCATCGTGCACATGAGTCGCGTCCGAAATTCCCGCTTAAGCTAAATCAACAAGTAAGATATAAAAGTTGTGGGCATAGAGAAATAACTGTATCACCGTATGTGGGAATTGATAGGAAATTTTTACATGGCGTGCTCACGAAACGTGTTTCCACAAAACTACTGGATCACTTTTGCTGATTTGATTCATATTTTTTTTTATATGACCAATGTTTTAGTTAACCCTTTCGCGGTGCGAGGGCGCTTTTCTCGCCCTTTAACACTATTACCAAAACAAGGTGGAAAATGAGCTTGTAAAAGAGCGAATTTTGCGCCCTTTTAGCTTTTCCTCCAACTCTGTCTACCATGTTTCGTAACTACCAATCGCAGCAGTGAATAGAAAGAGGTTGGAGGTAATTTTGGATCGTCTGCTCATCGCACAGTATTTTATTGCTCCAACGACCGTAATCGGCCCTTTCTACGCGGTCGTGCCATGGATCTAGCGGTCAATCGCCTGACAGCCAGTCACCAGATATACAAAAGGTAAGACGAATGCACCTCTCCGACCTCCCATTTCGCTATAGTGTACTCAACACTAATGCGCACTACCTTCACAGACACTGAAGATAAGCTGCTGGTGCAGATCGCCTTTCAATTCGAAAGGGAGGGCTTACGAATCACATGGGCCTACGTGGCCCGCCGAATGCAGACCAAGCGGCCGGCCTGTCAACTGCGGCTTCGGCTGGCTAGCATCAAGCGGACCTACGGAAAGGCGATTAGTGGCTTTCCGCCATGTTTTCTCCGCGGCATGCCATCAAGGCGTCTTCTCGGGGCGCTGAGGTCACCACCACCACCACTCCTCATTTTGCAGCAAGTCGTAAAACCAGCATGCCGACCTTCTGCTACTCCGTCAAATTCTCTACTTCTCGGCGGCGATCGCCGAGCCCAGGTTTGTCTGTTTTGGGGATATTTGCATGCCGTCGTAAGACTGATGACGATAAGTTCGAAGGCGATACGCATGGGAGGCGCCGCCGGAGGCAGTCAGATGGCAGACGACGTGGATCAGGGAAACCAAGACTGCAGAGGTGAGGATACAGGACCCGCTGGCGGCTATATTGCGCGATATTGCGGGGGATGCCATCAACCACAGGTGACACAGGCGAAAAGCGCTTCAGGTGAGTCTCGGATTGTTTGTTCCACAATTGACGTCGGCAAATACTAACCTGTGTGTGTAGGTGCTGGTGTTGGGGGCTGTGGAGATAGTCTGGACCCAGCTGAAGCTGCAGAAGCCGTGGATATCATTTTCGGAAGTATAAGTGCTCACGACGTTCGCCAGCCCGCTGGACGCACATATGACAATGCTGGTGAGGTGCTACCGTCCAGTGTCACCCTTCTTCTTGCTGCCGTCGGACCACTCGGCGAAGCTGACGTCTTCCTTGACGTTGGATCTGGTGTTGACAACGTGCTTGCGCAGGTAGCACTTACAACGAACGTCAGAACGTGCATCGGGACCGAGCTGCGAAGGGAGCTCGTCTCCCTTGGACGACGTTGCATGCAGCAGCTACGCAAGCAGTACCCACGGCTCAGTAAGGTGCTGCTCAAGCAAGTCGATGTAGGAGATGTTTCGATGTCACGGCATTCTCCCCTTTGCGAGGCCACAATTGTCTTTGCTAACATCTTTCTATTTGAAGAAGATGCTAAGCTGATTGTTTCACGAGAGCTAAGCGCAATGCCAGAGGCATGGGTGATAGTTTCAACGTCGCTCTTCGGCCCTAGACATCGATCACCGTGCTCGGAGCCGTGCTGCAAGAGTTGGAAACTGGATCATCAACTAGAAGTACAATGTAGCTGGAAGGCTACACCTCAATCCATTTACATATACCGTAATAAACTTTGATCCATTCTGCTATCTCATACTTGCTTCTAATCAGAGTCTTTTCGACGCTCATGAGTGCCGCCACCAGAGCAAATGCAGCTTCGCCACCCAGTCTGCGTGCGGCAGCAGCAACCCGGCTGGGTGCAGTATCATCACGTCCTAGTGTAGCAGTAGCCCATACGTCATGCGAGTCACCACCGATTCCGCCGGGTTCATGAGCGTTGCCGTCACTGCCTGTGCCAGCCGCACCGCCAAGTCCGCGGGTGCCATCACCAAGTCTGTGATCATCCAGACCTCCATGTCTTCGCGCGTCGTCGCTGACAAGTCGGCGAGCGCCACGGCTACCAACTGTATGTGCTGCACCACCAAGCTCGCGCCAATCTTCGCTGTCTGTGCAAGCAGAAGCACTTAGCCTGCCACCGACTCCGCTAGGGTCACCAAGGCTACGTGCGCCGCCGACACCAGCTGCACCAGCGGCACCACTAAGTCCGAGACCCCCCGTCTCCAAGTCTGCGCGCGTCGTCTATGGCAAGTCGGGGAGCTTTACCGCCGCCATCAAGTTCGTGTGTGTCTTCGCCACCTGTGAGAACGGCACCACTGCCACGTCGGCGGGCTTCACCACCACGTTTACTAGTGCATCCAATTTCGCGATCATCACGACGGGCACCACTAAGTCTGCTAGCCAACACACTTTCAGGCCTATCGTCCAAACGGCTGCCGCCGTCTGGTCCAGGCGCAACTAGTCCAGTCAAAAGATTGCTACTGCCAAACGCAACAAAACCCTGGCGGAGCATTACCGCTAACCCCGAAAGCAGCAATACCCTGTGTATCATCATCTCCTTCGAGTCCAGTGCGTGAGCGATGGCACCTCCGAGATCTGCCCCGTACGCAATTTGGCGAGCGGTAGCAGACCGCCTTACTGCTTGAGACCTGGGTTCGTGCGCATCCTTCAACTTGGCGAGTTTGGGGTGTCGCCTGACATTTCCCTTATCTGTGAACAATGCGTTAGGGTAGTAGAATTGGTGGAACTTTTCCCAGCATGTTGATGTCGTCGACGGACACATGCATGGCTTGGAGGGGCGGTAATGCACAACTCGGCACAAACAAACACCATGCGTGAGGCAATAGTTGGTTACCTCGGTAGGATAACGTCCCTCCCATCGGCAAACAATACAGCGGCGCCGCTTTCTGCTCTTCTCGACATGAATTTGCCTCGAAGCCACGGAAGTACATGCAGTTGTCGGAAGCACAGCAACTACACTAGGAGAGGCCTGGGAAGAGAGCGTGTCGAGTTGGCCTCCTTCTCCTCCGTCACCCAATTATCCGCTGAA